CATCGGACCTGTTTTTGAAAATCATTTTTGAATTGCAAAATGCTACTCCTTAGCATACTATTCTCTTCTGCAGCCTGTGGCGAATTTTTTTATAAATCAATATGATTTGATAATGTCTAATTTATCTTTGTGAAAACAACTATTCACCTTTTCATAAGCCTGCATTCGCTTAGATATTATATCTAAGGTAGATTTGAGTTGTTGATTTTCCATCGCATATTCTTCTAATGTTTTTGTTGGTACATTCTTACTATGATAATAAATGATAAAATAAAACTTTATATTCCGTCGTTTGACTATACTGTTTTAATTGGGAGTCAATTTATTCGATAGAAACCTTTCGGACTTTTTATATGAGGAGTGCAACCTAGAAGGAGACGGTCGTTGATAACTGCTATTTCCTAAATTTGCTTTCTGTTCATTAGGTATAATGTAATACGATTCCATCATGGCAGTATTCAATTCATCCGTTTTCGAATCCTTATTTGCTGGATATCACCAAATATGTATGTATATATTTTGTCAACACGGAACCGAAAGTACGTCAGAATGTAAAACAATGAAGGTTATTACCATTGACACCATCCGCGTTATTACCAAATGGCAACGGGGAATGTATTGTATTAGGATCAAATGAAATTTGAGGATCAGTCCCGTTAAGGGGCACAGTAGCGAATGCGACCGGATTTGAGATCTTTGACACTAATGATTCAACGATTTCCCAGAATTTGTTGAAGGGATCCGAATCGTCATCCTATTACGAGAATATTGTTATATCTACGAAAAGTGTTGATCTCAGTTTAAAATTATTGAAAAAGTCCGAGTGCTCACATCTGTCGAGTCGCTGTTTCCTCGCAATACCATGTATGATTCCTCTATTGTCTTTTCGGTGACCGCCGATCCATCCAAAGATGCATTTTGTGTGGCTGTAGTGAGTGCTAAAGAAGCGAAGTCATTTAAAGTCTTCCGGTTTTTTGACCAAAATTTGATTTCAATTACTCACAGTCGGACCATACTGGCGCTCGCCTTGTGCTATTTGAACTGCTTGCAAATCCTGCAGGAGTGTTTACCCCAGATTTCAACAAATCTGGTGTCATCTTATCTGTCCCTATATCGTGCCGTGAGCCTAGATGGGACTGCATTCTTACACCGGAATTACTTTTTTGTTGAGGTGCTGTAGCACTCGGTTTTGATTGCGTGGGTGATAATTTCTTGCGCTGAGGCGGTACTCCCGGACGTTCTTGTACTGCCTGCTTGGGGGATTGCTGTACTCGCTGACTTAAACGACGTTGCAATTCCTTTCCTTGTCGAGTGTGATTAGCATAAAGCAATTTTAAGGTTCTTAT